ATGAATTTCATGCTAGGTTCTATATTACTCTGAGTTTAAAAACTATGTCTTACAGAAACAGATTATCTTGTGTCTTTTAGAGAATTGCAGTGTTCAGTAGAAATTCAGAAGGCCAGAAATCAATTCAGAATCAATATCAAATGGATTTTTCCTGGTTCAGATAGTTCATAAAAAGTGAAAAATGTAATCTTTCTGCAAGGTTAAAACTGCTTTAAGGAGTTTTTTTTCTGTACAAAAAAATCACCTGAACATGTCTACATAAGTGAATTGCAGAGGCAGTACAGGTAATGACCAACACTGGTATTTGCTGGCAATGGAGTCACGTGTCTTAGGAATTCATATAATACATTAGTACAACAAACACCCCTCTCTGAGATTTTCTTTCAGCTGGTCATCTGTATGATACAGTTCTTTTGCCGAAAATGTCTATACATTGACAGAATTGGATCTTTGGTGGAAGGCAGGCAAAAGAAATTTAATCTTTTCTGCCCAGTGAGGATACTTTATTAAATTCATGATCTTGAAGTTTGATTAATACAAAGAACAAGCACATGAAAAAATTCTGAGATGAAGCAGCCTGATTCTGCAGCCCTCTAACACAGTATGTCTCCATATTTTCTGCCCACATCTCACATCACTCAGTTTAGTGCTCTTCCATCTCTCATCATAGTTAATGCCCCCGGAGGCAAATGAGCTCCATGTCTTATTAGCGGTTTGTGGAGTAGCTCACTAGAAGGACAGGCTTCAGCAGACAAGAGTACTCCTCTAGCAGACTCCATTAGGAATCCCCAGGAAAGACAGACACATTTCTGACATTTGGAAAAGCAGTACACAACCATTAAATATCAGACATGCTAGTCTCTGGAAGATAGCAGTCCTTTTGCCACAACTCTTCACATTTCTGATGAGAGCTAAAAGGATGTTCAGTAGAAAAAAAAAGAGGCATCATGCTAATCTGGGCAGCAGTAAGCCCTGTAGTGGCTTCACTGGTTCCAAATTACTATATTGAAACAACAATCTGGCTTCGTATAATTTAGCATGAAAACTTTGATAAGGGTAGCTTCTCTGGAGAAGTAAGATGGGGCTTCTAAATTATACAACAGGATGAACCACAGACTTACAGAAAAGGAGACTGGAAAAGACCTTAAGACCTCATCTTGTGCATTCTGAAGCTCCAAGAGAGAATAAACTGCATCTCACAAACGAAAAAGTATTTAATTATCTTTATTGTTAATAAGATTTTCCTAATATGTAATACAAACTTCAGTGTCATAGTTTAAACCCATCACTTCATATCCACAACAGATAAAAAAACATGAATCCCTCCTTACCTCTTTACAGCTAACTTACGTAGATGATAACTTTCATGTGTTCAGCTGGCCTTCTCTTTTTTAGACTGAGCAACCCCAATTCTTTCAATTTTTCTTTCTTGTTTTTTTCCCAGACAACTGGCCATTTTATCTGCTCTTCTCTAGACTCTGTCCAGTTGGTCTGCCTTCTCTCTGAACAGTTTTGCTTGAACAGGACACAGTGCCACTGGTTGCTGTGCTAGCCAGAAATATAATAGGAGGTATTCCTTAATGTATCATACAAGCAAAACAGTTTATCTTCCTAATATGCAGTTTACATTCTTGTACACATATGGTGTAACACTACTTATTCATGTATAGCTTGTGACTCCTACCTCTCTTATCCCTTTTTGATAGAATGGCTGCCTAATTGGTCATTGCCAATCCTACATCTTTACAAACTATTACCCCCTCAGAACCTCACACTTGCAAACACAAGTGCACAGCAATGTGTTTTCTCCTACAGATGATTACTCTGATTTGTCAAGAGCATTCTGAATTTAATGTATCATGCAATGTGTTTGCTGTTCATCTGGGCTTATTGTTATCTGCAAGGTTGAAGGATTGTTCCTTTATCCAAGTCATTAGTGACTTGGGCCATTACCTGGCCCAGAACAGACCCAGCTAGAATCTCACTGATTATATTTTTTGAGTTTGATAATGAATGACTAAAAACTAATCTTAATGTCTGTGTTGGTTTCCCTCTGCATCCCCCCCCCCCCCCCCCCCCCACGCGTTTGACTCATCCGTCCACATGTGTC